AAAAAAAAAAAAAATACCATCGACTTCCAGAAGAGGAAATCTGTGTTGAAATCAGTACAACCAAAATGTTCCTTGCTTCTTATAAGGATGGTGAGACTCTTATACTTGGGGCATGTTATCAGGAGAGGCCAGTCCTGGAGAAGGGCTTCATGCTGGATAAAGTAGAGGGTCAGGGAAAAAAAGAGGAGACACTCAATGAGATGGATCGACATGATTGTGGAGTGGTGTGGGACGGGGCAGTATTTCGTTCTGTTTATTGTACAACGGGTTGCTGTGTCGGAATCAACTTGACCAGCACCTAACTACAACATATGGGGAAGCAATCCTTCTTGAAATCTGATTTCCATATCCCCACCACGTCTCTTCTTCTCCTGCCCTTCACCTAATACTAGTTGAAGGAGGGCCAATTCACTTGACCTTCATGTCCTCTCCCACCTATTTGTACAAGGCTGACTGACTCCTTGCAGTCTAAATGGTCTTCAACCTTTTATGAAAATCTCTTTAAAGTTAGATATGACCTTGTGGCCTTGGATATTGTTGATTCATTCTTTTCCCGTTTCTCCAAACTGCTAATGTTTTGTATCTCATGTAATTACTTCACCTACATGAAGTCCTGGTGTGACACTGTGGGCTAATGCATCAGACTGCAGTTGTTTGAACTGCAGCATCGTGGTTCAAGTTCACCAGCTGCTCCTTGGAAACCCTATACAGGGTTGCTATGGGTTGCAATCAACTCGATGGCACTAAACAACAACAACCCAGAAACACTGGTGATACTATAAATGCTTCCTCTTCTCTCACATTTAGGGGGCTCTGGTAGTGTAGTGGTTATGAGTTGGGTTGCTAATCTCAAAGCCAGCAGGTCCACGGGAGAAAGATGAGGCTTTCTGCTTCCATAAAGATTCACAGCTATGGAAACCTTCTGCAGGGTTGCTATGAGTTGGATCTGACTCCACGCCATATAACCAACTAACCTCACATTTAGTCAGTTACCAAGTACTATTAATTCCTCCTCGGGAATAATGCTTGAAGTCACCCCCATTTCTTCATCCCAGCTGTCTGTGCCATGGTTTAGGATGGATGTTTTCCATCTCCCATAACACCTCCTAACTTGTCCTTCCTATTCGTTAACTGTTTGTGGAAGGACTGATAGAAGAAATGAGAGCCAGGAGGCAGGCTAGCAGAATGTGCCCTTTGGTTGTTTAAATGATTATATATTCCTGAGTGTTTCTGTGTACATCCCCTCCCCCCACCCTGAAAAAAAGGAATGAAAGCAAATACTGTTGAATGATGATGCACGAAGGGGTTTGTAATTATTGCAATGAAATGATGAGTATAAAACTCATGTTCTCCCATGTAAAGTACCACTCAGTTCACAATAAAAACTTAAAAAAAAAATCCAGTGAGAAAATGTAGTTGAGTGGAATAAGGGAGCCCTAGGAATGGAGCAGTCGGAGGCTTTTAACAAGATTTGATGCAGAGAAAGTGTATCCTTATGTGGTGGGAGTTTAAATTGGTCCTGCCACTTTGGAAAGCCATTTGGGAGTACCAAAGAAGTATGCATACTATGATTCTGTGTGTACATATACTATGATTCTATGTGAACACATACTATGATTCTGTGTGTACACATACTATGATTCTGTGTGTACACATATTATGATTCTGTGTGTACACATACTATAATTCTATGTGAACACATACTATGATTCTGTGTGGACATATACTATGATTCTGTGCGTATATATATTATGATTCTATGTGTACACATACCCTGAGTCTATGTGTACACATATTATGATTCTATATGTGCATATACTATGATTCTGTGTGTACATATACTATGATTCTATATGTACACATACTATGATTCTATGTACACATATACTATGATTCTGTGTGTACACATACTATGAGTCTAC